CTTGACGTAATACCAACAACAGAACACTGTCTTACTGAGATATGACCGAGGTGTAGGGACTCCCTCCTTTTTTGGCACCTCCTGTTCCCACATCGTCGAGCCAGTCAGATCCATTATAGGAAGCTAAAGAACTTTCAACAAATCATCAGAAATATTATTTGCAATTTCGTTATTGAAGAGAATAATGTATGGTCATGATCATTTTGTAGGAAAGACGATGTCATTGGCACGAACACATTGCCTTCTCGGCCTCGTTGATGGAGCTGATCCGAGATGCATCTAGCGCTGCTCATTCTTCGTTGTGTCTCACAAGAAAGCCGTTTTCCCGTCGGATTCCGTTTTCATCGATATTTTCAATGGGCATGCGGATTGCTGCGTTGACTACATCATCCTCGACGCCATCGCGGAAGTAAAACGATCGCAAACCAAATGGATTGTGAGGCATCGCATTGTGGATCACCACTGTTACCTGAAAGAATTACGATAAGGGTTTCTGATCCTACATAGCTATTGAGTAAGCTCTCTTCGAATTTTGAGATGTATCATTTCTCCAGAATTAAACCCTTGTGAATGCGTTTCGACCACTATAATTTCCTTTTTTTACGGGGTATTGCCATTCTCCCTTGCGTCTCAGTAGTACATCCTAAATAGAATTTTTGCGCTATTTGATGGTATAATTGCCGTCTCAACTTTTTGAAGCATGTCAAAAGAGCAACTTCGGACGATATTCAACTACAAATTGGGTCAATCCGCAGTCGAGACAGCTCGAAAAATTAACCAGGTGTGGGGGCCCAATAGTGTTGGAGAAAGCACCGTGCGACAATGGTTCGACAAATTTCGTTCTGGAGATTTCAGCCTTGAAGATGAACCTCGTAGCGGTCGACCTAAAGCAATACCTGACGAGGATTTGAAGGCGTTTGTGGAGGCTGACCCATCCCAAACAGTTCGAGAGATTGCAGAAAAGCTAGGCGTTGGCAAATCCACTGTTGCGGATGGTCTGAAACGCATTGGGAAGGTGAAAAAACTCGACAAGTGGGTGCCCCACAATTGAGTGACCGGCAGAAATTGGCACGTCTCGAGGTTTCTTCTTCACTGCTTTTGCGCAACAGAAACGACCCGTTTTTGGACCGAATTGTCACCTGTGATGAAAAGTGGATCATGTATGATAACAGGAGACGTTCCGGACAGTGGTTGGATGCCGACGAACCACCGAGGCAATTTCCAAAGCCGAATCCTCACGAAAAAAAAGATTATGGTCACAGTGGTGGTCATCGGCTGGTGTGATCCACTATAACTTTTTGTCACCAGGCCAAACCATCACAGCAGAGTCCTACTGTGAAGAAATCGACGAAATGTACCGAAAATTGCGTCAGCTGCAGCCAGCACTTGTCAACAGAAAGGGTCCGATTCTTTTGCATGACAACGCCCGCCCACACGTTTCACAAATCACTATCCATAAATTGAACGAATTGGGGGTTGAAGTTCTACCTCACCCGCCATATTCTCCAGACCTTTCACCAACCGACTATCACCTTTTCAAACATTTTCAGAACTTCCTTGCTGGAATACTTCATCAATCAGGACCAGGCAAAAAAGCCTTCGTGGATTTCGTGGATTCTCGACCACCCAGTTTTTTCTTTGATGGGATTTATCGACCTGATTCGAATGGTGCTTATTTCGATTAAATCCGATGAGTATTAAGAAAGTTATGATCGTTTAAAGTGAAACACTCAAAACGCTGAGAACTTTCCGGACAACCTATAATAGTTTTGCAGGCAGCTAGAAAAATCCCCACTAAAGCTGGTGATGCCATGACTGGGTAGCAGCGCTTCACACCCTTATATCGGATTGAGTTCTGAGAAAAGGGTCTAGCGATGGAATAATGAAAATCGGAAAATTGAAAATCGGAAGTCGGATCAACTAGCTCTAAAAAATCTCGTTCATCTTCTTCGCTTTATCGCTTCCAGTACCGATTTCGTCTTCCCTCACATTTTCTCGAAGCATTACATACTTGCACTACGTGTGGTACATGAAACCGACTTACGTGTTGATAATCAGGACATTCTTCAGGCAGTGGTGTCCAGACAACAGAAATAATCCACCTGATTGTTGTAGCAGCAGACCGTCCTTGCGTTATGCTAAAGGAAAAACGTTGAAGTATAGGGCATGATTTGGTACTTTGTCGTGGCAGTAGTGGGGAAAATGGCGAAAAAATAAAGTGAAACAGTCGAAAGCCCGCGAAAAGGCCTTTGTTCTACACGACCGAGAAAGTGACTTTGGACGAGTTGCCCGCTGCCATACCAATAAATCTTGTGGTAGGAACGGCTGCATGTGCGTACCTATATGTCCATGCAGCACCGAAGCCGCCTCACGTCAATCCTTCGCTTCATATCTTACTTCGCAAATGAAGCGATACGAGCATCAGCATTGGTCGGGCATTTGTGGGCGGGCGGGCGCGGTAATTAATATGCTGCAGCTTGATAGGGCGCTATAAGGGCACTTTCTTTAAAAATGGCGCTCGCAACGCCTGCTCAGGAAAGCCGAAGTCTGTCCTGCTAGGCATATTTATCTTCCACGCCTTGTGGATATCGTTGCCCTAACGGAGCTTTTGTTATGGCGATAGTTGCTTGCCAATTGAATGAGTAACCCTTTTAGGTAGACTAAACTTCGAACATTATAGAGGACTCCCCATGAAAGAATAATGCTCCGGCCACTTTCTGTACTTTCCCATTAACCTACGTCTAGGAAGTTGTGATGCTGCCGTCAGGGTGAAATATCACGTCGAGGAAAATCGGCCGTTCAACAGGAGCTCCTACCAGGGATGAGGTATCCACGCAATACCTACTCGATCAACTGCGCCATATTTGTTCTACTTCTGCAGTTATAACGCGTGTAAAGAGATTTGACAAAAAAAAGAATCGCAACAATTGGGCTTGCAGGGCGGGATTAGCCACAAAATTTACACAAAAAATTTTCCGCGAATGCGGGTTCTTGCCTTCCAATGGATAAAAATTTGTTCAAACATAACAAAGACCTGCGGGAATTTAAAAACGAGAAATTTGTTTCCTTTACTAGGAGGCAGGTACTTTGTTGTAGGTCTACTATAGTGAAAGGTACTCTATCGCGAATTTGTGCGAGAAATTTCCATGCGGCCGCGCTCCACGACCAAGAACGACAGTGGTGGCTTTAAACCGCAAGTGTTGCTACTACCCTATTCATTACGGACATACGACCAGCTTTCTTTTTAGCAGCTAATCCCCCGTCGCGCATTCCCCAGCGCTAAAGTAGTTGTTGGTGGACCGCTCGCCAGAGCGTTTGCATCACTTTCCCACAAAGACTCAAGATTAGAGCGTAGTCGATCAGGGCCCGAGAGAAGACCTTGCTTCTACCAAGCATGAACCTCGATAGGGGAAGAGATTTGATGGCACTGGCAGAAGCCCTCCCCGCTCCTCTTCCCCACTCCACTGCGTTCGATTTCGCGACGATGCTCTCGGTACCGCAGATCTTCCAGCTTTGTAGTTAATGCAAGCAAAAGTTTTCGAAATGATAACATTTGGAGTTTTAGAAGCACCTAACGATATTAAGAAAAAAAATGATATAAAGCACAGAAGCCCTCAAGTTTGATGGACTCGAGTCATGACTAATTTCAAATTACAAAAAGCATACCCTGTCGGGTAAAGCATTGACACAGAGGCTGTTCTGATGTGGAAGGCATTTCCTGGGTTCACCGTCAGGTCGAAGAAGTGGTCGAGAGCCTGTAGGACACGGTGCAATGAGCTGAGGTTTCTCCGTGGTCCTCGACAAAACGAATGGCACTGAAAAGAGTAACGACCATAAGCTTTAATTTTTTCACTTTCAAGGGATTTGTTGGAGGTTGGTGAAAATCATTTTGCCTTTCAGCGATGGCCTTGAGCACTAGACTGCAATCAGTTCAGTACTAGAATACTTCATAATTTTTCGCTCCAAATTATTTGTCATGCTGTCATGCTGTCATGCTAATATTTTGTCATGCTTTCCATGCCTGAAGTATTGGGTATCTGGCTTGATCAGTACCTTCTTGGGATGCGCCACGCTTATGATACTCCTACTCAAAACTGCAGGCGCATCTGATCGAAATCCAGCTATAGAGTAACTTGCAGTGATCAGCTGGCGTGCAATTCAGCGGTGTTCCTCTTCTCTAACCATAAGACAAGTATGGACAAGACTGGAGGTAATGAATGCCCAGAATAGTATGACATTCGGAATGTCACCTGCACCCCCTCCCTGAAAAGGGCCATCTGCAGCGCCACTTGAACACCACGTCTGCTCGGATACGTCTGATACGAGGGCTGTTCAATGTATTCTGTCTATCTGGCTAAATTAGCATTGACGAAAGAATTTAAATCATTTCGAAAATTAAAATTTCAAATCATTGTAAATCTTAATTTAGCTATCATCAATGCCTATCATCAATGCCATTCTAGTTAACCATGGTGAAAAAAGACCACAGCGATTGATGCGACAATACTGAGAAAATGATTACTGTTGAAAAGAATAAAGAAAAGTAAACGAATGAAGAAAATGAAAAGAATATTGAGAAGATGGTTAGTGATCACTTTTTGCTGATCAACTGAAAAGATCTTTGTGAGAAGCGTTTCTCTTAAAAAGACCTCTGTGAGAAGCGTTTTTCTGACGATGAAGAGCTGAAGGCGGCAATTAATGCACATTTTGGGACAAGGAGGAAAATATTTTTAGAGGGTATTGAAAAGTTAGTTACCCGAGCAAACAAACTGCATTGAGATTATGAGGGACTAAATT